TTTTCGGATATCGCCCTGTTCATTTTCAGTGCCCCTGGTCCGTAGCCCCATTCTATGCGCGCTTCGATTCGATACATCGTGGTTCTACTACACATCTCTCCATAGTAGAGCCAGAGCGTGTATTTGTGAATTCGTAATTCATGTGTCCGCGCAGGCGTTACAACCTTGAACGACACAGCTGGCTCGGGATCGCATCAAGGACAAGGATGCCAAACAATTCACAGATTTTTTCTCCATCAACTTTTAAACACGTTTCAAATATGGATTACAATATGCATACACTATATAATAATGTTTCCATATGTATATGTGTATATAGAATGCATACAGAGATTCTACAATCGAGTGCTTACGTTATGAGCAAGAAACATCCAAATTATTTCTATACTCCTCATCACTTCATTACATAATCACTAATCAGAATTTAATTAAGTTCAAATATTTATTTTGTATTATATAGATATGATGAATGGGCATTATATATGAATCCGAGATTTAAAATTCAATTGAAGTACGCTGAAAGCTGTAATATTCCTTAGATTTATAATAAAACACGTACACTTTATGGCCGGAAAATTTATATTTAAATATAATATTTATCCTGTTTTAAAGTCTTAAAGTGGGCTTTAAAAAAATGTGAATAGTTTAGTAATAAGTAAGTATGCACTTTCAGCTAAGAATCATAGGATTTAATTATTCCAACATTAACAATATGCCATTTAAAATTGAAATTTGTTTAATTATAGTGTACTACTGAAATTCATAAGTACTTCTATATAAGCCTATTTGAAATTTGGTTTTTCGAGTAGTTTTATTGAATACACTTTTGAAATATTTTTGCCTGTTTGCCATGATTTCTCAAAACCAACACCGAAACTTAATATTCAAGCGGTATAATATTTTATCCAATATAATTTTTTGAAGTAAAACTTCTTTAGACGCGACTAGGGAGTAAATTTTGTGAAAATGCAATCATTTTTATATAGATCCATAGTGATTAGTCGTATTGTCGAATGAATAGAGATTTTTCGTTATATGCGTGCCGGCATACATCAACGAGGAATTCGGAATGTCATTAGATTTTAAGGTTATATCATAGTACAAATTTTTATTTAATAAAAATGCCTGAATAACAAGAATATTTTATCCTGTCCCCCGTAAATAATTATAATGCAAATAATAAAACAAATTAAACATTTGTGCCGTGTACGAAACGTAAGTTTATTGAAATAATTTCTATATTATTCGTAGTTTCTGTAAATTTTTGATGTTATTAAAATGAAAAATATTTTTATAGCCAAGATAGATATTACAGCTACTCAAAGAATGAGATTGCCAGCCAGCGAAAAAGTAAAAAAAATTACAAGCCGTCAATGAATGTATGTTAATTTTAATTACATGAAATTCTTCAAACACAATTACATGATGAGTGAAATTGTGAAAATAATATTTCTTTAGGCGTTGTTTAACATAATCCACTGTGTGAACGAATATTATAGAATTTATTAATCAGCAATTCTAATAAAGGTTCAAGTCCCTAATGCTAATTACGAAGACAAACCGATCATGTCATATTTGAAGTATGACTTTAATTACATTATTGTTTTCAAATATTATAAATTTAATGCTATTATAAATATATAATTTATAATTTATTATTATATAAATATGTATAATGGTTGACATTAATAATGTGTTACCATATTACTTATAAAAATTATTTAAAATTTTTCTATGATGTATTTATTTTTAACTTAAATGTCACCTCGTACAATAGCAAAAAAGTTTTACTTCTATTGCATGTGAACCTTACGCGCACTCTTTTTTTTATTTTGAATTTTATTTTATTTTAAAAAACTTTAATTATTGTGTTTCTGCTTAATCGAAATTGCAAAATTTTTAAAAGACATATGGGCATAAAATCAACCTAACTATTACTGTTTGCTATTTACCGAATGATTTTTATTTTCTTTATAAGATGGCTTGAAGTTAGAATTAAATCTGATTTTTTTATTAATCAATAATGATTTCTGGAATCATGATTTTATTTATCCTGTTTTTACTTTATATAGCACTATAGAACAAAAACATCAACGACCATATCACGTTCGAAAGCTATTCGATATCTCTAGATATGATAGCATGATGCACTGACAGGCTTTCTGAAGTTTTAGGTAATCAATCTTCATTTGTCTTCAGAAGGATTTTTGGCTAATATTCTGTTTTTCTTTACAAATTTGTTGTCAGCGTGAAAATCGGCTTCATTTTGTTGATGGTCTTTCTTTTCGTACAGAAGAAATTATAATTTTTTATATTACTTCAGAATATTACAAAATATATTATAATATATAAATGAAAATTCTAATATTATTATTATGGGGATATATCAATAAATTTTTAGCCATAATGCATTCATCGAATAGGGAAGCAAAGGCCCTTGTCTACGCGCATGTGTGTTCCGAAACCAATTATGTTCTAAAAAAAGCTAACGAGATGTCATGTGTTTTTACAAAAGATTATTAAGGTATTACGTCGTTTTATCCATAGTCATCAGAAATAAAGTTGTTAAGTCCGTTTCCATAATAATTGAATTCTTTTTCTATGAAGATCAAAAATATATTGGATAACAAAATCCATATTTAGTAGTATTAGCATTAAATCATGCAGAACGATAAATTGATTTATATATAGACAGGGTGCCCAAAAGTCAAGTCGAAACGGGGTGATAGTATTGATCGTAATTCTTAACTATCACGAAAAAATTAGAAAAAAAAATCATTTAGTTTGGAAATTGAGAGCATAAGTACAACATTTGGTCAAATTGTGACCATTCTTTGTTTATTGAGGTTGTTGATTTTTATTATTTTTGTTTATTTTGGAACCGCAACTTATTAACATTTTTAAGTCCACATGCGAAAATAACGACACAATTGTCCAGGTTTTCCAGTATTAAGACTGTTTATAAACTAAAAAGTGTTTTAAATTTGTCTGCTTTGAAAGGCCCTTTTAGAACAAATGTACAATTGAGTATTAACAAGTTTTATCTAAAGTTTACACATTTAATCAGGATTGCAAAACAGTGAAATACTTGATAGTTTCTTAATAAGAAATTTCAAGTAAAAAAAGTTTGTTCATTCATTATATTGTAAAATCATTGAATATTTTCAGTCATCTTTGAAGCGGTTTCAAAATCAATTTTATTTGTATGTTATTTTAAGCACTTAATTAATTGGCATGATAATAAATTTTCCAAATAATGTCACATGGGATTTCAACATTTTATTACAAAAAATGTTTTATACGTAACTATGTAATAGAATACTCATTTCGTATAATAATATTTCGTGAACAAATCCTATAACTAATGTAAAACGTATAGGAGAAGTACGGAAGTAAGTTGATAAATTTATTAATAGTATTGATTATAATAACTTTATTTATAAGAGCAAGATTTAGTTTATTTGCTTATAGACAACATGGAATAAAGATATATTCATGTTCTTCTGCAAAGATTCGTGAACATTTATTATTATTTTTACATTGATTTCCAATAAATTTATTGATTTCAAAAAGAGATATATTTATGATTTATTTACATTCAAATAGTTTAATTAAAGTATTGATTTGTGGCATCAAAAATATTTTTGAGACTTCAGATTATTAAGAATTTAGATTTTATTGTAATTAGTTTATATTTTCGTATTAATAATTTAATTTATATTATTGAATGGGAAATTATTAAAACTAATTCAATAATAATTGTTTGATTAAATTGAATTCTTATTTGATTGAATTTCTTTAATATTTATAAGCTTTGAATTGTGTTGAAAAGATCATATAAGTAAGACTATAATAGCATAATCATTAAGTAGTCCATATAGTACGGACTAAATGACATTCTTAAATGCTAATTTTCAAGAAGGCAGCTCAATCAAAATCGTTTGGACCACATCTTTTGGTCTTTTCAACACATGAAGCATGTGTTTACAGGGAACAATAATTATACATCGTAAACAACCTTCGCCAGGCTTATGGAAGGAAAATAGATTTTTGCAATAACTGCTATAGTTTCTTCTTTTTATCAGTGGATGTTTAGGTCTGTTTGTAGAAGTAGTTAGAGTAAAAGTTAAAAGCAAATCAACTTTGACAGATTTTATTATCTTTTCTTGAAATTAACTAAACAAACAATGTACTAAACCTGTAGGTTTAGTACATTCGAAATAGTACTAAGTCATTTTGTCAAATGGATACAATCAGTACTACATCATTTTGTGATATATAACTGCAAAAAAATTGACCGAAATCACCAGTACTAGCGTAAGTTCACTATTTTTAATAGAAATAATTTCAAATAACGATAAATAAGGGACCGATTCTGCAGCATCGCAGACAAATGTTATGGCAAGGCCAAGTAACGCTCTAACTTCTATACGTTTAGCTACTGAATCATGCTGCTGAATACTGTCAAAATGTCATGTATTTGCTGTGCATTCAGAGGTTTTACACATAAACTGCAATGTCACTCGTATGTTATGAACCTGAGTCAGAAAGACCCTGTTATCTAACATCGTTTTTTTGTCATTTGTGCGGTTTCTATGTTAGGTTTTATATCTGACAAACTGAAAAAAACGTCCGACTGCATAGCAATCACATGGCTTTTCTCAATATTTAGTATGGAAAGTTCTTCATAACAAAGTCTTGCCATAACTAAAGCCTTGTCTGTTGTGCGGCAGAATCGGCCGAAAACCCCCAAAAACATGATCAAAATAAAATTTCGAAGGAGCGAAACACGTTTGAGTTGATTACTGCGACAAGATTGTGACAATGACGCTCAACATCTGACAGGATTGTGATTATGGCTTTCGTCGCGCTATGCACTCGTGGAAACGTCATTAAAACTAGCTAATTTCTAAATATGGCAACTGTATCATTTTGTTCATATATACCATTTTGCCCGTATTTTCCTTACATATATCTAATGCATTTATTATTTGATTCAGGTGATTAACAGTACTCCGAAGCAAGACAAATTTGTGCGTCCGTATCCGACGAGCGCTCCATGTTCTGGCGATAGGCACGACATTGAATCGTCCGCCATCGCGGATTCTGTTGCCGCGGCGGTGCCACTGGTGGTGACTGCCACCGCCCTTAGTTCATCCGCCTCCACGCCAGAGCTACTCATGCGGAAAGCGGAGACCGCCTCCAGCGCGGATGAAAAAATTGCCACAGGTATGAATATATTTATGAAGAAACGGCGAATCGCAAAAATATTATGAATTTCTTATTTTTTTGATAAATAAAGCGAGTAAAAAGAAAACCGCTGGAGAACAGAAATATGTATTCGTATAAAATTTATTTGATTATATTGATTAGTGCGTGAAATTCTATCTCACTCTCGAAATAAATTGTCATATGCGAATAACTGTATGATATCAAATCAAATTAACAGACACACTAGGACGTTAAGAGTGAATTAATATAAGAAATTATGGGTCAATTTTGTCATAAAATAGAACAATGTTATGGCAAGGCTATGATACGCTGCTTTTTCATATAAAATGGCACTAAAAACTGTCAAAATACTCTGTCAGGCCTTTTAGATATAAAACATAACCTAGAAAACGGACAAACGTCAAAAAAGAATGTTACCATAATGCAGTGGTTTTCAATCTTTTTTGCACCGCGCCCCCTGGTCTTATAAAAAAATTGTTGCGTCTCACTTATTTTTTTTAATTTAATTTTGTAAATACTTAACTGATATTATCAGACTACAAACTAATATACAATATTATGTAAAAATATGCGCAAAAACTAATGATTTTTTGTTTATTTTTTAATATTATTCCAATAATGTTGGGTTATTTTCGATAATAGTATTCTGGAAGCAGATGTACGCATGCCCCTTAGAAGAGCCTGGCTTTCCCGTGAGGGAGCGTGCCCTACAGGTTGGAAACCGCTGCCATAATCTTTGTGAAGTGCATTTATAACACACGCGAGAATTTAGATTTTATGTGTAAAACGTCTGATCGCAAATCAAATACATGGCATTTTGACAGTATTTAATATCATTTTAATGAAAAAAAGCAGCTTAAAAGCACCCTTGCATTAACATTGGTCTATTTCACTGCAGAAATGGCCTATTAATATCATCTTTTAAAGCGACTCAACGATTTCAATAAAATTGTGAAAGTTTTTTTCCATTAAAATACATTTTCTAATTTTTGTAGCATTCTAGAAGTCATGCACTTACTAATTATACCATATACGAATTTCAATCCTACTCCTATAAAAGTAAAATTTAGTTTTTGGCATTAGAATCTATATCATTTTTATAAGGCCTCAGTTCATATCTCTAGTAATTTTTTTTCTGATAATGTTATAGTTGATCGACAAAATATACGATACCAGCAAATACCACTTACTACCAACATCTCTCATGGCAATTATGTAAGTGCGGATTTTTGTTAAAAAGTCAGACATTTTTTCATGGAACTAAATAACTTTATTCTATGTTGCATCGTCCATTTTCATCACTGACTTGTAATCATCTTTTGAGCACCATCATTTGGAATAATTTTATAAAGCTTAGCAAAATTAGCAAAATAACTAAACCAGATACAATTTGACACCATCGTATATCATTGAATTGTTTACTATTCAAAGACTTTTGTGAAGATTGAAACAAAAAGTAATCAGAAGGTGTAAGGTCAGGACTGTATGATTTTGTTAGTTGTTCAATTTAGGCATCAGAATTGATTGTTAGGTTAAGTGATAAGAGTAAAATTAGACAATTCATTTGTAGTCAACAACAACTGGACGACCAGAGTGTTTTTCATCTTTGAGTGAAAATTCACCAGAACGAAATTTGGTTAACCAATTTTAACACTGCCTTTTTTTGAGAATGCGTCGTCATAAATAGCGCATAACTTTTTGTAAGCTTAAGATGCCTTTTTACCTCATCGCCTAAATATAAAAAAGCGAAATATGAAAATTAACCGATCAACAACCTCTTTTTTCTATCTCGACTACTGAATTAGGTACTATCCAATAACAAAATGTATTTTACATTTGAACTAGATCGGCAAACCTAAAAATTTAATTGAAATTAACCTTTTAAGAGTGAAAGATGCACTTACTTAGTTGCCAACCCTAATCGTATATTAAAATATTGAGTATACTCAAATAATTTAATTAAATGAACCTATTTCAATTAAATTGTGATCATCAAACACGTAATAGATTTAATTTGCTCATCGTAATTACTGTCATTTTTATATTATTTTTATTTCCACTCGAGCACTAAAAACTAGCTTGATAAATTTCTGTTTTATTTCTCAGTGAAGTAAATATAATTTTAAAAGCATTATAGTAAAAGGACTATATAAAACTTAAGTACCTAGTAAGAAATAAATTAACTATTCGTACCGACTTGTTTCCAACTTGTTCAATGTTTTTCACTTCAGCCGCGATCGTGTACTTGCAAAGCGAAACTATAAAAATACGATGGTTGATAATAATATAGTTTAATACATAAAAGTTTTAGTTCCGTATATAGTATTATTTTTGCTACTAAAAAAACTCTTAATCTTCTTAATTACATTTTATAAAACAAAAAATTGATGAAGTTCTGGCAATATCTATGTGTTATCTTTTATTGAACTTGCTTGAATTTATTTTGATATGCTGTAAAAGTTACTTTTCATTAGTTTTGTTGTTAAACAATAGTATGTATAATTTCGTGGTTTTTATTTTAAGTGTTTCACAGACTTATGTATAATTATTATGTAGGCATTTTTACAATGGTTATTTAGTAGTATCAGATTATATAAAAATATAATTTTATCTAAATAAAGTTAAACCAGTGGTGTGTATGGCATCGTGCCTTAAGGCAAATTGCTGGAACTTCCCGTACCGTAACGAAATCTTCGAGGAATATTCAATGCTTTCAAATAGATTATTATAAATAAATCATGTAACATTGACTAATATTTATGAGAATTTTATAAACTGAATTGCAAAGTTGAAAACATTTGTTTTAAGTCAGAATTACAATTAAATCTGAATTATTTTCGATATACAACAAAAAAAACTCTTGAAAAAAAATTGAAACGATTTTTTTTTCAAAATTATTTTGTTAAAACAAGCAGAAAGTTCAAATCGGATACTTAGTTCTCTCAAAAACTGCTCATTTAGCTCTGTATCTCCAAAACCGCTAGAACTGCCTTTGCCAAAAACTAATCAACACTTCTCCGCGTCATTACAATTAGCATTCTGACAATTCTATACAATTCGATATGTAGACTTCAAATTTTTCCTCAAGCTTGGAAAAGAGCTAGGATTATCTTGATTCCAAAACCTGGCAAAGATCCATCCTATACAACATCATATCGACCAATAAGTCTTTTACCCCTCCTTTCCAAAATATTCGAAAGATTGCTGCTTAAAAGAATTCTTGTCACATTGAACAATAATAATACAATTCCTTGTCATCAGTTCGGTTTTAGAAAGATGCATTCAACGATTGAACAAACCCATAGATTGGTGCATAAGATTAACGAAACTCTACAAGAAAAGAAATATTGCTCAGCTCTGTTCTTAGATACCACACAAGCATTTGACAAAGTTTGGCATACAGGACTTCTTTATAAAATAAAAAATACTTTACCCAATGACCTATTTCTATTAATTAAATCATACTTATCAAACCGAAGTTTCTACGTAAACATTATCAACATGAACTCACCTATTAAAATAATAAAATCAGGCGTTCCTCAAGGCAGTGTTCTCGGCCCAATTTTGTTCTTAATTTTTACAGCTGACATTTCCACCTCACTTGACACAGACATAGCCTCATTTGCTGACGATATTTGCATTCTTTCAAAACATGAAAATCCCACAACTGCTTCAGAGCAACTTCAAAGTCACTTAACATCAATAGAAAAATGGTACAAACTGTGGAGGCTAGAGATCAACAGCCAGAAATCATCCCACATCACTTTTACACTCAAACACGAGACATGTCCACCTGTAACTGTGAATGAAATAGAAGTCCCTCAGGTGGAACACGTAAAGTATCTGGGCATGCATCTAGACCGCAAACTGAATTGGAAAATTCACATAAAAAAGAAAAGACAACAGCTTGAGGAAAAGTTACGAGAACTATACTGGTTAATGGGTAGGAGATCCCACCTTTCTGTACACAACAAAATACTAGTATACAAAGTTGTACTTAAGCCGATTTGGACATATGGCATAGCACTTTGGGGTACTACATCTAAAAGTAATGCTAACATCATTCAAAGGTTTCAGAACAAAGTTCTTAGGATCGTTTTAGGCGCCCCAAAATATACTCCCACCTGGCTGATCCATGATGACACACATATGCGCACTGTAGCCGAGGAAGTTAAAAGATTCGCTGTTAACCACAAAGACAGACTGATAGAACACCCAAATGAGTTGGCCAACGCACTGCTATCCACAAACACAACACGAAGACTTAAAAGAAAAATATTTAGTGATTTAATTAGATTGTAATTACTCGTGTCACACTATTAATTTCTATAAAGGAAAAATGCAACTGTGTATTTTTCACTATTTATATATCGATGTCATTTTTACATATAATTGCCAAAAGATTTACTTAATGTCTATGTAGGACAGTTGTAAATATATTGTTGAATAAAAAAAAAAAAAAAAAAAAAAACTTCTCCGCGTCATTACGAATTGAATGTTTTTTGGATCATTCAAATCGGATGCTCCGATCTCTCAAAAACACGATTTCTATTTTCTGCACTCTTTGCTTCGTATCTCCGAAACGGCTGGATCTGCCTGTATTAAAAACTAATCAGCACATTTTCATATGAATAGGAATCGAATGTTTTGTGAACCATTCAATGTTTTGTGAACCAAAATTAGCGGTGTTTCAATTTATCTTTTGTTTGGGGCTGGTTATAACGTCTACCAAGGAAAATAGTAATGACAAAAAATGACAATAATGCCTCTGATAATTAATTTTTTATTTAATTTTAAGCAAATTGACTTGTTTCTAAGTATTTTTTTATAAATCAACTATAATTAATATAAATAAAATATATAATGTCTCATATCGTGTCTTCCTATTTAAACATTTAATAATCACAAAAATTGTTGCACATCCTCAAAGATTGAAAAATTTGAAACAAAATAAGATATATAAAATTTAATGTTAATTTAAATTTTTATGCCTGTGA